TATAAATATATATATATATATATATATATATATATATATATATATATATATATATATATATAGATTAATATATATGTATATATATATGCATATATCACCAAATCAACGAAAGAATGCAAACAAAAAGAAAAACAAACAAAAACCCTAAAGTCAAAGACAAACAGACAAACAAACAAACAAATAAGCAAATAAATGAATGAGTAAAATAAATAAATAAATAAATAAATAAATAAACTAAAGAAGTAAATCAACAAACAAAGAAATAAATAAATAAACAGCTAAATAAATAAATAAACAGACAAACACACGAACAACCAAACAAACAAACAACTAAATAAATAAATATATAATTAATTAATTAATTAATTAATTAATTAATTATTAATTATATCTGTCTTCTGACTTAGCGACGATGTGGCGGGCGATTGAACTCCAAAAATTTGGCGAAGACAAATCGCAGTCCAGAGAAACGCCAGCCTATAAATAAATAAATAAATAAATAAATAAATAAATAAATAAATAAATAAATAAATAAATAAATAAATATATATATAAATAAATAAATAAGAATAGCTAAATAAATAAATATATTGCTCAGGTGAAGAAGCAAAGAAATGAAAATGAAGGAAGCAAATAAGTCGCGTATAAATATTTATTATATGTTATATACATATTATATTATTATTATATATTATTATTATATATTATATACATATATTAGGTGTAGATATATATAAACAGAGAAACAATAATAAATGCGTCTATTAAATAAGCAAACAAAAAAATAAATAAAAAGAAATGCATGACTACACAAATAAAAATAAACAATAAATAAATAATGAAGGACAAAGCATTAATAAAACAAAAGATATATAAGCATGAAGAAGAAGAAGACGAAGAAGAGAGGTAGAGACAGAGAAAAAGATAAAGATAAAGATAAAGAGAGAGAGATAAAGATAAAGGCAGAGAGACAAAGAGAGATATTACAAGCAGCAAATTGGCGAGCATTCGATGGTCCCCATAACCGGCTGTCTCTTCTTCTTTATTATCGTCTTTGCTTCTTTTATTTTTCATTGTCTCCTTCTTTATTGTCTCTTCATCTAGCAAACGGCCTACTTGCTGCAGCAGCAGCAGCACCTGCGGATGCTGCTCCACGCAAAAACCTAGGCGCGCTGCCGCTGCAGCAGCAGCAAAAGCAGCAGCAGCAGCAGCAGCAGCAGCAAAAAGATGTGTCAGCAAGGTGTGGCAACAACAGCAGCAGCAGCACAAGCAGCAGCAGCAATAGCTGCAGCAGCTTCTCAAAAAGAAGCAAATTCAATGGGCAGTCCTCCCGCCTATGGATCCAGGGTTTAGGGTTTAGGGTTTAGGGTTTATACCGATGCATGCAGAGAAGAGGTCTTGGCGGTGCATGCGGCTGGCGTTGTTTATTGCAATATTAAAAAGAGAAGAGACAGCGGGAGAAGCAAAAGACAAACGACTAAAAGCAAACAGCAAAGGAGACAAATACTTGCTAGAGACAGCCCGCCTGCAGCAGCAGCAGCAGCAGCAGCAGCAGCAGCAGCACAGCGAAAGATAGACACAGCATCATCAGCAATACCTGTAACTGCAACAACAGCAGCAGCAGAAACTGCAGCAGCAATAACAGCAGGTGGAACTGCAGCAGCAGCACCAACAACACCAACAGCAGCAGCAGCTGCTGCAGCAACTGCAGCAGCAGCAGCAATTTGCCGCATGGGCCCCCAGCAAAGTGCAAAGCAGCAGAAAGCAGAGACATAAACACAGAAAAAAGAGAGGCGCCAAACCCCAAACCCTAAACCCTAAACCCTAAACCCTAAACCCTAAAACCTAAACCCCAAACCCTAAACCCTAAACCCTAAACCCTACCCTTCGCATATTTTTAAGAAGTGCTCCGCCGCAGCTGACAGAAACTCCTTGTCTTTGAAGCCAATCGCCCCCAACCCCCAAACTGCAGCAAACCCTAAACCCTAAGCCCTAAACCCTAAACCCTAAACCCTAAACCCTAAACCTGAAGTAGCTGCAGAGAGCGCAGCGTCTTTCGTGCAGCCGAGACTCAACTTAGTTGCGGAGGCGTCTGCTTTTCTGCTGCTGCTGCTGCTGCAGCGGCCACTAGGGTTTAGGGTTTAGGGATTAGGGTTTATGTACCTATCATGCAGAGGTTGTGCTCATCCATCTGCTGCAGCAGCTGCTGCGCCTTCGACAGAATGCTGCTGTAGAAAGTGCTGCTCTTGAAGCCAACCCGCGCCGCCCCGTGAACTGCCACAAACCCTAAACCCTAAACCCTAAACCCTAAGCCCCAAACCCTAAACCCTAAACCCTAAACCCTAAACCCTAACTGCTCCATTCTTCCAGCGGTGCTCCACAAACAGCTTTGATCAAGACTATGAATCAGGGTTTAGGGTTTAGGACAACAGGGCTAGGGTCAGGGGTTTAGCATTTGTTATTTGGGTTTTAGGGTTTAGGGTTTAGGGTTTAGGACGCACTGGCCATGCAGCAGTCAATGTGGTTTAGCTGCTGCTGCTTCGATATGAGCGACTGGCATACAGCAGCAACTGCTGCTTCCTTGCTGCTGCACCCCAACCTCCCCATAGAGTAAACTGCAGCAGCAGCAGCAGCAGCAACAGCAGCAGCAGCCGAAACAATGAGGGCGCCAGCCGCAGGAGTGAGACGGGCAGCAGAAGCAACAGCTCCAGCAACAGAAGCAGCAGCAGGCGGAAAACTACTAGCAGCAGCAACAGTGGAAGCAGCAGCAGCAGCAGCAGCAGCAGCAAAAGTAGTAGCCACAGCAGTATCAATAGAAGCAGCAACAACAACAACAGTAGTAGCAGTGCCAGGAGCAGCAGCAAAAAAGGCAGCAGCAGCGGGAAGAGCAACAGCAGCAGCAGCAGCAACAGCAGCAGCAGCAGCAACAGCAGCAATAGCAGCAGCAGCCTCACGTATAAGAGCGTTATTTCTTGGGGTATTATCTGCTGCCCAGGCTTCTGCCTCAGCGAGGAGCACCTTCAGCAGTTGCTGCTGGTGCTGCTCCTGCTGCTGCACCTGCAGCAGCAGAAAAGGAAGCAGAAAGCTGCTCGTACTTCTATCTTTTATTTGCTGCTCTGCTCTGTCTGTGTCTTTGATTACTGCAGCAGCTTCTCATTGCTATATCTAATATATATATATATATATAAATATACATATATATAATTGAGGTGTATGTACACCTGAAAGTGCGCAGCAGCAGCAAATAAAATTGAGATTTCTCGTCCGTCTGCGTCATACAAAATTCCCTGCACCTCCTTGCTGAAACATCGCCACCAATCCGCTGCTTGCTGCTGCAGTTGCTGCTGCTGCTGCTGCTGCTGCTGCTGCTGCTGCTGCTGGTCTGCGCCTTGCCCCCACTTTCTCATGCTACCGTCTTCACGAGCCTTTCTGCTGCTGCTGCTGCTGCTGCTGCTAGAGTCTCTGCTACTACAGCTTCTGCTGCTGCTGCTCCCTCTATTGCTGCTGCCTCTGCTGCTGCTGCTGCTGCTACTGAAGATAGAGGAGGCGTGGTGGGCTATCATTGCTGCTTCTGCTGGGCGCAGCAGCCGTATGTGCGGCAGCAGCTGAAAGAGAGGACGACGAAGCAAAGAAAACCTGAAAAAAGAAAAAGAAAAACAGATAAATAAATCATATTATTATTATTATTTTTTATTATTATTAATTTATTATTATTATTATTTATTGTTATTATTAATTTATTATTATTATTATTATTATCTATTATTATTATTAATTTATTATTATTATTATTATTATTACTACTGCTACTATGAAATTCATAACTCTTTTTACTCGCCCTAACTCAAATTAAATAAATAAATAAATAAATATACAAATATATATAAATATACACACAAATATTTACATATAATTATAATATATAATATATAATATATAATATATAATATATAATATGTAATATACATCTATATAATACATACATATATATCATATACTATTATATATATATATATATAATAAATGTGTTAATATTAGTATATCAAATGGAGTACACACAAATATATAAACAAATGCTCATAATGAGGAAGACAGGCAAACTAGGCAGATAAATAACACAGCAGCAACTGCAGCAACAACTCAAGCAGCAGCTACAGCAGCAAATGCAGCAGCAACTGCAGCAGCAACTGTAGGAGCAACTTCAGCAGCAACTGCAGCAGCAGCTACAGCAGCAACTGCAGCAGCAACTTACTCTTTTAAACAAAACAGCAAGTGGAAGCTGCGTATCCAGGAAGACAAATCTTGCGGTTGCTGCTCTGCTGTTTGCTGCATCATTCTTATTGCTTCTTCTCTTGCGAGGCTCTCTCCTGTGCGTACACCGGAGCGTTTGCTGCTGTGCAAATTAAACCCCCTATCCCCTCCTCTTCTTGCTGCTGCTGCTGCTGTTGCTGCTGTTGCTGCGTCTCCTGCTGGTGTTCCGCTCCGGGCGAAACGCCGTTCCTCTCTCGCGGCTGCTGCAGTCCTTGCTGCTGCTGCTGCTGCTGCTGTTGCTGCTGCTGCTGCTGCTGTTCTGGTTTTGACAGCCTCTGCTGCTCTTGAGGGTTCTTTGGCTGCTGGTCCTGCAGCAGCAGCAGCAGCAGAAGAGCTGCTGCTCAGCCTGCAGTGTACATACACCCCGAGGCAATGCCCCGGCCTCGGGCTGTATGTACACCTCATTGCTGCCTGGAAGCCTCAGTAGAAAACCTCAGTATACATGAGCGCCGCAAAGGCATTTGGGAAGCAAGGGTTTAGGGATTAGGATTTAGGGTTTAGGGTTTAGGGTTTAGGGCTTACTGTGGAGACTTTAAGGGGCCCCTAATCAGTAAAGAAGAAACATTCAAGTAAAAGCCTTCCAGAAATCTGCCGGGTTGCTAAATGATGAGTTAGAGTCTTGACTGTTAAGGGTTTAGGGTTTAGGGTTTATCGATTAGGGTTTAGGGTTTAGTCTTTAGGGTTTTGGT